TTAAAATAACGGATTTTCACGGAATGTTAAAGCGCTGTGAAAATATGATCGATTGGTACAGTTAGATCTGCAGATAACAAAGTCAAAGATGGCGGAATTGTGTTATAGCAATCATTTATTAAATGTAGAACTTTTTGTTAGTCTACCATCCTATATAACGATGACTCTATTCGTTTTAAAATATTTAAACACTAAATTCATTTCTAGGCACCCAAACATAGGCGAGTGCCAAACGATTCGTTGTCTGCATAATTCACTGGCTACTTTAATAGCCATTATTATCTTTTACATTGTCCCTTTAGAAAAGCCTTTGACGTATATAATGTATTATGTAAATCGTAGCATTTGATTCATATTACTATACTAGCGACTCACCCTCGCTTCGCTCGGGTTTGTCCCTAGGTATGTTTTAAGTTTTTGAGCGGAACCCTAATTCTTTTTCTAAAATAAAAGCAGCCTATGTTATTCCCTATAACATCGGCTATATTCCAGTGTAAGTCCCGTCAAAATCAGTCCAGCCGTTTCAGAGATTATCCGGAACAAACAGAAAGACATACAAAAAATTAAAAAAATGTATTTTTCTTGTAAGTACCGTATATAATTTCATATGCATTTAGTAAAACGCTGTTATTTTGACTTTACAAACAGATACTTCAATTTTATTTATCTGTATAGATTAAGTTCAAAACGACTCTATGGATCAAAAGTGCTATAATATTCAAGAGACCAAGATCAATGCCATATCGAAACATTGAACTAATATCACTTAATTATTATTAACAAAGATACTAACCAGATGGATCTATTGAATTGGCTGCACTTACAAATACTTCAGTCATCGTTTCGTGATAAGGAGCCTTTATATGGAATGTAATCAACGTTTTGAAGTTAAAGTGGAACACCTATATATTGTTGCAATAAAGGCGGAAAGTGGAGAGCGATGTGATAGGACAGTAGGTAGGTACTCTTTCTTTAAGCAAAAATATTATATCGACTTAAGCGGGAAAAATATACCATACTGATTACTGATAAATTAAATCATAGAGAAGATTTGGTTGTTTAGATAGATTGCAAAAGCAGTGGTAGCCCAAGTGAAGCAGGCTTAAACCCCAGGTCTTAAGAAGGAAAACGACGTGAGAAAGTCTGTACGTCTACGAGAACCTAACTGCCCTAGAAGTTTTCGAAAAACATGTGAATTCTGTCAACGGTCAACGCCTTTGGCCAGCGTGTTGGACTATAGCCTGATTCTTTTCAATGAAATGAGGCTTGTGCCCAGCAGTGGAATATTAAAAGGGTTGAAATATTATTATATTACCTATTGACATTTACGAGTATGTTTTCGGGAATCGAACCCAAATTAGCTTTCTTTCTTATAAAGACGATCAGATACCCGATTGCAAGTATACCCTTATAGATAGCGTAATTGAAAGCTCTAACAATAAGGCTTCTAATGCAATATAGTATATATATACATATCTTTGATCGGTAATGTGATCGTTGCCCTTGAAGGGTTAAAGGTTAAGGGTAGCCATCGATTGTGTTAACTTAAGTTGAAAATTATGTATATTATATATACATATTAATATACATACAACATGTAATTAAGAATATTTTATAAGTATAATTTTATCTATACTTAACCCCTCCACGACCGCGGACACGCCGGCGTGTCAGTTAACAATAGATTTCTTAGAATTTTAATTAATTTCTTAGAAATTTACCTAGAGGTGTCATAATAAAATTCTGAGTTGAATATTTACATTAAATATTTTTTGGAAATTTTTATTGAAATAGTCATTATTATCGATACAGAGACCGAACTTATAGTTTATACAATTTCTGTCTGTCTGGAAACGCATCAGGAGAAAACCATTGAGCAAATTTTGATGAAATTCGGTATGATGAAGCTTTTTTCTGAGGGAAAATAGTATATCATCTCTGAGAAATCTATACTAACCATGAAAACGTATTTAGGGACGAACTCGAGCAGACCGAGGGTGAGTCACTAGTATACAATACTTATGAATAAATGTTTAATAAATGTTAAACATAAGCAATAAAGTACCTAAACATTTTAAAACAAATTAAAAATATAATAACAATGAATTATACTAGACGTAATCATTCAACGACATATTTTTAAAAAGCTATAAAATACCTCTATTATAACGCCATTCCCAATTACGCGACACGCAGTAAAATATGGCAGATGGTTATAACTGTCCTCTTGTATACATTTAAAAATGTAATAGTTTTAAATAACTAAAAACGTTTTTGATGAACTGAAAGATGAAATTAAATATAATAAAAATATTTGAATTTTTATTTAAATTAGCATATTTATTATAATTAATTTAATATATAATATAAAAATAAATAAATTAATTAATTAATTTATAATTTCATACACTTATAATTATAGTATATAAGGTTAAATTGTTTTATTACTAACAAATATGGAGTAATTTATTTAAAAAAATATTAATCAAGTTCAAATTCGAAGGTCATGGAAGAGTTCCAGTATCTCATCACAACACCTCTGGCTCCATCATCAGATCAGCTTTACGTATTTCAATCACTGTATTGTAATCAGGATATAGTTTATCCCTTACATAGATTAGTATATCAATTAAAACAATGTAAGGAATATTTTATATTTTTTTTATAAGAGTACCCTCATTTTTATAACTTTATAGTGTTACTAGCATTGCCCGCGGCTCCGCCCGCGTTCAGGTGACTAAAAACTAAATTCTTAGGTTTTACATATGAGTATACTATTACATTGCAGTTTTTTGTATTTTTTCTCAGAAATTAGATGTTTTCCCGCGGTAAAAAGTATCCTATATGTTGACCCGGATAACCAGCTATCACCATACCATATTTCATCAAAATCCCTCCGGTGGTCCGGTGGTAGACAGATAAAAATTCAAAAAATTATAGTATTCAGCCTCTGTATCGATAATAATGTTTATTTCAATAAGATTTTCCAAAAAATATCTAATGTACGGATTCGGCTTAGTTACAATCTTATTGTATGTGTAGATAGATAATGTTACTACATGTAATATTTTGTTTTGTCTAATATGTAATATTGTTTTTCATAATATAAAGTACACTCACAATACCTTTTTAAGGAAAAATAATTGTTTCTAATATAAGTTACTTTTTCGTAATTCTTTTGGGAAATAAATCCATTAAACCTATTATTTACATATACACATGCAAAGATTCAAATCATTGTAAGAATTAGAAGAAGAGTCAAATAAATATCCATGATTTCATTAGATACTTAGGAGCTAACCGTATTTTTTTAGTAACCTAAAAAAACTATATAGCGTAAGACTGAATGGAAAACGAGCTACCTTAAAATAAGAGATCTCAATGACTCTTCTGAAAAGCTCGAAGCTTTCCAAGTGAAAAAGAAGAATAAAAATTTCGAATGAAGCGCAATAAGCAAGTTTTAGTCAATAAAAATCTTTGAGGTATGTCGAGATAAAGTTTTCCTATTACCTGACACGATCTAAATTAATGTTACGAGTTTCTAAAAACAAAACAAAATATAATTTATTTAAATAGCCTTTTATAAGTAGGTACTTTTCAATCGCAAATATTAACATATCTACATTTTTTGTAAGAGGCAACTACCATCGGTTCGGAAAGCAATTCTGCTGAGAAGTGTCGATGGAAAACTGAAAGGTATTTTTCCACGCAAGTAATAACTAGAATTAATCACACGCATTGATATCTGCAAAGTGATAATAATAATATCATTACCTCAAAAGTACCTACTTATATTTTTAATTTTTAATTGAAGAAAAAAAAACAAACAAACAGATTCTACAATTCATCGTAGATATGTTTTTTGGTAGGTGTAAAAACTTATCTAAGCACAAAAATAGATTTTGATTTTTAAACGCCCGTTTACAGTCTGACTCAATCGTCCATATTTAGTAGGCAAAATGCACCTTCTATAAACTCAATTACACGTCTCGCAATAAAACATTATCGGCCCACGTACATTGTGGGTGTCGACTGCCTTGTACAGGATTGGTATATTGCGTATTTGTTTAGACGAGTGGTATTGTTTGTACGATTTTTAAGAACAATGCGAATCTAAATTAGTCAAATACAAAGTCAGAGACGATGTTGGTCTTTTATTTCTAAAATACATATGAATTTCTAAACTAAGCGAATAGAAATGGACTATAATTAACAACCCACGATTTCACATTATTTAAACCTACGCAGTAAAGTTGCTTAACTTTAACTTTCAGTATCAACGTGCAATTTATACAATTTATAGATAATAGTTTCTTAGATTTACACGAATATTTGACATTTTAAATAAAACTATTTTTTGGAGATGGGAGAAACTCTCCCGTGACCATGATTGCTGTGAAGCATTTGAAACGTCGGGAACCAAAAATCTAAATAAATCCGCGAAATAATCCGAAAAGATAGTTTTATTTAAAATTTATAGGTACATATATGAACTACGAATACTGTATTTTTTAGCACATCACGTCTAATAACGTGTTTATAGTTGCGAAAAATCAACCTTCAAAATAGTATATAATGTTGGAAAATCAAGTTTAAGGAATTCCCATAAGGCAAAGCGTGCGCTCTACAAATACCTACATTAAATTATAAAACTATATACATATACATATCTTCTGATTTATTATTCAAAACCGGCGCTAAGCTAGTGGTTGGCCTCCTTCGAGGTCTGGCGAAATGACATAATCGTGACATCATTTGTTGAATTAAGTGAAACGTATGTTAACTTGCTACGCTCCGCTCTAGGACATTCGGTATATCGATTTATATCTAAGTTTTAATTGAAATCGATTTATAATCGTTTCTAGGTCACAGACCATACATTGATTAATCGACATCATTTATATATTGGATATTATATATTCATAAATTATTTTTTCCAGCTTCATAGATCTCATCAATCTATAAAAAAGCATAAAGAAATAAGCATAATATCCACTTACCAATGTAACTATATCTCCGGGATTGGCAGCCGCTATTCGTCTCAATCTCTCATACAATAGGTCCAAGAGTCCTTGATGTTTCACATTCAATTCATCCAATTCTCCTGCTACTGCTTCAGCTCCTGACGTGAGGACATCAGATCGGCCCCTGTTCCTCAATCTCTCTGCCAGATCCACTTCAGCCTGCCTCTTCAGCTGCCTGGTGTCGAGGGACGGGTGTATCTCCTCGCAGAGCCATTCGACGTATTTTTGACATCTCGACGAGTGAATCTAGTTTGGGTTAGGTTAGGCGAGTTAAGGTTAGTTCTCGGACTGTTCTTAAACATTTTTGGTACTACAAATTAGATTTCTGTTTATATATTCAAAGTACGTATTTCTGTTTATATAATTTAAGTATATGCGAATTTTAAAAACAGTCGTCGGTTAAATCAAAGCGTTTTATCACCATACACACATCCTTCCTCTCTATAAAAAAAATGATTTTATTGATTTTTACATCAAAAATAGGCAATCAGACCAGACACTCATCAGCATTCGTAACACATTCTTGACCAAATTTGGAAAACAATGGGCAATTCTCATATTTTTTCTATGATTTTTTTGTCCAGCTTTTATATATAGGGTAAGAGCTCATGCTGGAAGTAACGCCACAGGTTTGCGTGCAACAGTGCGTTTTTGAACACCCAACGTGCATCTTTAAACCCAAAGCATATCATATTCTTGTATTCTTTATTATAAGCCCATGACCCCAGCAGTAGGAACTAATTTTGGGAATTGTAACGGTATAAAAACATTTAAATTTGATACTGAAACACGAACAGGACATATACGATACGAACAAACATGCAAAAGCAAAGAACATCGACCTTATTGTTCTTAAGAAATTCTTGGTTTTTGCGACGATTGAATTTAAATTGCGTTCCGCTCTGCCACCTTATGATTTATTTATACCTAAATTTACAGCAATCTAGATGTTTATTTTTAAGACTAAAAAGCCTCAAATAATATGAATTTTGAGATCTAGTGCTTCCTTATCCTTGTAAAATGACCAAGAGATTATTTTTTGTATATGAAAATATATAAATATAACTATGAAATTTTTCACAAATTTTGTCAATCTATCTATATTTTGATGATAATAGGCAAAGTGGGGGGAATGAAAATAGATTCCTTTATAATAAGTCGTGATATTGCTAGATAGTTTATAATTGGCTTAGTGACAGTAAGAGCAGTCATATGTTGCTTTTGTAGTATCGTTCACACAAACATCCCGCTTTCAAAGGAGTTTTGTTATATTAGTAAAAGCCTCGTTAATTGATCAGCATCAAACAAAATGTTATTTTAAAGCGTCAAATAAGCGTCATACGTACTACACGTACAGATTATCAACAGTATATCGATATAAACTTTCAAAAAATCGATTAATATAATTTCAATAAAATAAAATCGATTTTCAGTTGAAAGTCTGCTGTGTACTATTAAAATAAAACAACAAGCGCATGCAAAGAAAAAAATAAAAATAACATAAAACCAGAGACAAGACGTATAGACCACAAACCCAAACGACCAAACAAAGGAAGGAAAGACGCTGGACGTTTACTACCTCTTTAAATACCTTTCACAATCTTTCAAAATATTGACAATGAATAAAATGAAAAGATAACATTTACCATATTATAATAAAATTATTGAAATTTAATTCAATTTTTTAATATGTGGTTTTTAGGCGTGCCAGTTGAGCATAGATTACTTCGCCAATGTCGTGTAGAATCAAGAAGGTAGTTTGAAATTTATAATAATTTTTCAAATTAAATAAACTCCAAAAACATCCGATAAAAATTGATAACGAGCAAAAAAAAATCATATTTCTAGACAATATGACAGTTCGAATAAAAACGAAATACCACAATATGCCACAGATTAAAAAAGTATCAGACACGACATTTGCCCTACTGATATTTACCTTCGCCTCTCGTATGAATCTTCCACCGTCTACATTCACCTTCTCAATCTTTGGCGTCCTTTCCACTACACTGGTCAGAAGATTCTGTATAATTTTCACAAAATGAAAATAAGTTTTCTAATATATTAGTATATAATATTATGGTAAAATTATGCTTAAAATTACGGTGAAACATCTAAATAATTACATTTTCGTTCTAATTTGAAAACTTTGTATTTTGTTTTTTTTTACAATTTAAATAAGTACGAGAGTAACCTCATCCCATACTCGATGGTCGATACCATTATTTTTAACTAGGTTATACTATGAAAAAGACGGTTGTAATATGAAAATGACTTTTTACAATAGATGAATATTAAAAGGAATTAGTCTATAACATTCTATGGTTCATAAACTATATTTGAAAAACATAATCACGTCGATATCCATTCCCTACAGAGTATGATGTAAAGACAAACAATAACACAACTTTCTTAAATAAGTAAAAAGTAGTGCGTCTTCAAAGCACATAGCCTGCGAAACGCAAACTTTTTTTTTAAACTAATCACTATATCCAGAGATTTCTTCATACAAACAAATATATACAACTCGACCTATCTTTTATATGGAGTCCAAAACGGCTGGAGGGATTTTGATGAAATTTTCAAGCAATCTTCAGATTAGCGGTAGTCCTGTGAAGTTTGATAGTAGTATGTAATGCTAATTGTATATATATACATATAACATACCCTGGTAGGCTCTAGCTGTTCTTTAGGCCGCGCTTCAATAGGCGGTTGTGCGACCACCTTGCTGTACGTCTCGTCGATCCATTCGACTTCCTTCTCGAAGCCGGCGTTGTAGTTGCGCAGGAGTTGGTACGCCGCTTCACAGCTACGTAACCTGATCAATAAACAATACATTATTATAGTATTTATACTAATAAGCAATGAGTCTAATGGGATATCTCACCATATAAACATCACAAATTATAAATTACAGTCCCCGCCACGCTGAGGTTGCGTTATTTATCTCGAGTTAATCTCAAAAACTACTGTACAAATTTTCATACGGTTTTCACCAATAAAAATAGGTCTGAAGTCACAATTCAAAAATATCCGAAACGGAAACTCAAAATAAAATCGTAGTACTCCAAAAGATCATCATGAACATCATACATGTAATGCGACTATGGAAGGCCCAGATCGTCTGCTACAGGTGTTTTTTATACTTCAAAAGTACCGATCAAAAATAATCAGATACACAATCCCATGCAAAAGCTTTCTTAAAACTAGCACCGATTATGTTTAGGTAATTATTCTAGTTGAAATAAATAAATAACAATGTAATTTAAACCTTAAATGCAATAATTAAAGGTGTTTTCACAAAAAAAAAATTAAAAGCGCGATCAAATGTTTGAATGAGCGCTCATTAGGTGAGGACATTTTTTGCAACTGATTGTGTATCTAGTACTTTTTTAATCAATATTCAAAAGCAATTTCAACCCTGTTTCTATTTTACAAATAAAGTACTTTTACGTATTTATTTACTATTTTATCATACACTCCATTTAATTACAGCCTATTTTGAAGTTAAAGCAAAAACACCCACCTTTCAGCCAACTGCCCGCACACGTTATTCCACCTATTGTTGAGCTGTCCGACTTCCTTGTCCAGCCTCTCCAAGTCCACATGCTTGCCCCTGAGGGAGGTGTGCTGGAGAGAGCCCCGGGAGGTCTCCACCAGGCGGCGGCAGTTCTCCGCATCATCATTCATCTGGTCCACTTGTATCTGCTGCTTGCTGACCGCCACTTGCATCCTTAAGAGATCCTCGTGTATCTGGATTGTTGGATGTTATATTTAGATGGTTAAAATTATTTATTAGGCTTTATGTCACGACTTTTAGTTCTTTTAAAAAAGTACTCTTATATGAAAAAATATATTTTTTAATTTGCATCTTTTTTGTCTTCGTAAAGGGTAACTTTAAAATTAACGCAGATGTGTTTTTGGCAGGGTTTAAGTTAAACACGTTGATTTTTGTATTAATTTATATGATCGTTTAAAGTAAGTGTCTGGGAACCTCTTTAAACGACAGGAGATTTGTTCTGATAAAACATACTATGTAGGATTAATATACATACCTATGTCATAGCTAGATGGCGACACAAATTTAATTTAAGGTTTTTAATTATATTATAGCTTATATAAAATAACTTACATCTTTAAGTAGTTCGACATCATTGGGCAAGTCGCTGAACTGAGCTAGTTTTATCTCAAACTCAGATATCGTTTGGTTGTTCTCCTCCATACTGTTCACTACAATTTCTACGAATTTTAGTCTGCAACAAAGTAATTAACATTTACTTTAACAATTTTATGTTATAAATAAATAAATATTTTTACTGATAAGGTAAACAAAACTATTTTCAAAAGATTTGTAAGAAGGCGGTCAAGAACAAATACATACATAGGTATATATGTAATTCTTAAAAATCCTCAAAACCAAATTATAATAAGCTTTACATTTAAAACCATATTTATTTTATATACCACTCAATTTCAATTATTATGTACAGTAACAATTCTTATATGTATAACAGTTATACAAAATTTAAACATTTTATATTTATCATTTCTATATGTATGTATGTATATATTCAGCCCTTTTCAACGTCCCACTGCTGGGCGTAGGCCTCCTTTCTATACGAGAGGGATCTGGCCATAGTCCACCACGCTGGCCAAGTGCGGGTTGGCCATTTCTGTATTTTAAAGTAGTTTTAAAATAATAATAGTTATTAAAAATGTTTATTTACCTTTCAACGAATAGTTGACTCTTTGACTGCAAGTCATTCCATTTGCCCATAACTTTGTCGAGGTTTTTCTTCATCGCTGGTGTCTTTAGAGCTATGCCTAGAAAAATAATACGATTACATTAGTAAAAAAAACTTATATTACCAAAATTATGTAGTTTCTTACTTTTTTATTTATTATTTATATAAAATTAATTTTATATTTAAACTTTAATATCATATTGTAAGCGTTATTATTATTTTTGTATTTAGTTACAATACTTTCTTAGATTTATGTGAATATTTGACATATTTTGAATAAAACTATCTTTTCGGTTATTTTCACGAATTTAAACAGATGCTCAATTCTTTCCCGTGACCATGATTGTTATAAAACATTGGAAACATCAGGAACCAAAAATCCGAAAAGATGGTTTTATTTAAAAATGTCAAATATTCGCGTAAATATAAGAAAATATTATAATACCCAAAATTTCAACATTTTTCATTTCACAATTCACTAATCACTAAATCTTATGACTATAGTTCTTCCAGTGCACTAACCTCTAAAAGTAGCTTGAACTTCTTCCACATCGTTCGATAACGAGTGTAAGGTCGTCTCCCAATCCTTATGCTGCAGGACCAGGTGTTCCAGGGTGTCCAGATCCCGGGGGATATGACTAGCGATACGTTCGTGTAATTGCCTTTCGAACACCTCCAACCTTTCCAGAAGGTTGGAAGACTGTTCTGTGAAGATTCGGGCTGCATTCTTGGAATCCTCTGTAAAATTGACGTGAAATTTTGAATAAAGTTACAAGTTTTATTTAACCGAATTTTTAAAAAGTTTAATAAATTATAAATTTAAATTAAAAAAAAGTAATAAATAACTATATATTACAAAAATATCAGTTCAATACATTATGAATATTATACCAAATAATTTTAACACAAACAAAATATTCATTAACAATAACCTAAAACCACTTAGTAACAATCAAAAACCAATCACTCTCAATTATCGAATTCAAGATGAACTAAACGAAAACAAAAATCATGATTCACTCGACGAAAAATTCACAGAATCGCAGACAAATCATCGATAGGAGACAACGGCATTGACCGTTTATTGCAGACAAATAAAAAAAGACCTGACAGTGGTATGGTATGGTAGTCGAACCAAATCCTTTCCACGGAGTGTTCGGAGTAGACTAACGTGTTGCGTAACATTTAAAGCTACGAGTAGTTTAAAGTTAAGAACGTATGCAGTACAGAGCCTGTCGGATCTGGTGGAGAAACTGAGTATATCATGGAAGATACTGTGGCACAGAGTAAAAATGTCCAGTTGACTAATTTCCAGTGAAACAATCGTGAAACAGATCTAAATTTAACCTTCACATCGCATTCTCCGAGGAGTTTGCGCGAAAAAAGCAACCATAACAAGTAATATCGTAAATCTTGCAAATAAGTTTTTTGTTGTAATATTTGTAAATAAAAAATGGTGGCTTCATTTCACAGATAAGTTAAAGATTAGACTGATTTTTAAAATCAAATTTACATATTCAGAATTCAATGTTTAAAAAAGTTCAGTCATGTTACATCTAATAATAAAAATTAGCAAAATCAAAGCTTTTACGTATACTTATTTCACATATCAAACTTCTCTCATATCTCAAAATTTGCTTAAAAATCCAATACACACGAACCTAAAGCAAATATTAAAGTATTAAATTAAACTGGCATTCAAAATCTGGAGCATTAATATGTAAATCAAAGTCTAGTACACAAATATCGCCATCCTTTAATCTACTCTGTAGAACGCCTACACTTCGGCTGGCTTTATCAGAAATTGCAGCTATAACTAACAATCTTGGACCACGCCAAGGCCAATAGAATTGAACAGTAAAAAATACTATGACATCACTTTTGATATAACGAATTGCTTGAATTAAATTATGCCTAATATCTCGTAGACAATGTACAAACAAAACTCATTGAAGAGTTCCGTGATATACTTTTAAAACCCATGGTCCGACCACTAGTAAAGAATTTTCTTTGATATGCTTTTAATATACGATCAGTCTACATTTCTTATAGTAAAGAAATAATCATATTTTTTTAAAGCAATTCATTTTAAATAAAATCATCATTTCAGATTTTTTCGCTCATTTATTTACATTTTTGATTATCGACGTTTCGAATGCTTACAGCAATCATGGTCTCGGAAAAGTCCCGTTTTTTAAATTATTTAAGCATAAATCTAAGAAATAATTCATTTTAATTAAATTATATACTATTCTTAATAAATCTTGTAAATGCTAAGCTGTAGATCTAACAAATTTCAACTAAACGTATAATAAAACCCATTTTAATATTCCTTTCAGGTTTCTCATAAAGTAACTAAAAATAAAATAGCCTGAAAAGGCGCAGTACCGCAATGCCGTTACAAATGCACGCTTAATATTATAAAGTAGCGTGTAATGGTATATGAAATTATACTGGCGCAAAACTTAGTATGAACTATCGATTGATACAAGATTCCGAATGCCAAGAGTTGACGCACAGCTAAGAGACATGTAGGGTGATAAATAATAATATAATGCTATTGTCGTTTTAATAACCTATACTTAGATTAAAAAGCTGAAGGGATTTTTCCTTTTCTTCCTTTACCATTTAGCTTTAAATAAATATATTCGCATTGGCTATAGGCCTATCTAAAATTACAATGCATTTCTTAAGCGTAGAGTAAGAATTGACAAATAAACTAGACGAGTGGAGTCATTGATACAATATTATACATTAAAATTAAAATCTCATCGTCATTCATATTTAAACCAAAAAACATAAAAGAGTATGAGTATAATATTTAATTATTTTACATTTAAAGCACGTTTTCATTTTTCTTTATGTAGAAATTAATTTAAAAATAACTGAATATAAAAGCTAGATAGGTATACACATACAGGGTGGAACAAAAGTATGGTACATGAGAGAAAAGCACCTTAAAAAGTGAAGTTATCAAGATTTACTGAAAAGAAATATAAAAAATAAAGAATATTTAAAAAAAACTGCATTTTTTTAAAAAGCTTACCTGAACCGGGAATCGAACCAAATAAAAATGCAAAAAAGGACACTATCACGTAATCGAACTAATCTATAGGGTCTATGGTTAAGGATGAAATATACAGGCGCAGAATGTTTACAACAACATAAAGTGTGAATCTTTGAATAAACTCTAGAAGATCAAAAGTAACATGCCATAAATCAGATACAAGGTGACACGCAAATACTTGCTGTCATTTGCTTGATTCGAATAGATGGGTATCGGGGTCACTTAAACATACCTTGTCATATCTGCAGCGACCCGCCTCGCTATTTGCCATAAAGATAAACACATAAGAAGATTAAGCGTGCCAGAAGCAAAATATGAATTTTCTATCATAGCCGACAGGTTTGGCTCAGTTTGTAGTGACCCTACTTGCTGTGCCAGCGGTCGCGGGTTCGAGTCCCGCTGGGGGCATTCATTTGTGTGATGAGCATTAATATTTGTACTCCAGTCATGGGTGTTTATATTTATAATATATCGACTATCTGGTATCCATAACACAAGCCTTTTAGCTTACCATGGAACTAGATGGTGCTGTGTGTTAATGTCCCAACATATTTTTTTATTTATCATAGTTTTCTATATTAGTTCTACCATAATTTCTACCCTACAAGAAATATCGATCTGAACAAGTACGTAAAAAGTAAAAGTCAGAGGAATTCTCCACGAAGTTTGACTCCTTTAGAATTTTTTAGCATATATATGATATCAGTATATATTTGTTTTTTTTAAATATATGTAACATATTTTTTAGATTAAAAACCTAGCGAATCAATTCACGCTCCATATCAAACTATATACAGATAACTCGAGTTTAGACGTGTAGAATTGCGTTTTCTCATGCATATTATGTCAATTGGATAAGGTTGAAACACGAATAAAAAGCGAGTGAAGTCACAGCCAAAATGTAGTATTGTTAATCTTAATAAATGAATAGAGTGCGTTATAATCAATAAACACATTGTATGCACCAAAGCCAAAAAGCCAATTGACCAAGATTAACGCATATAAGTGAAATAAATGAAAATAAAACATTCCCATCTTTTTATCCATATTTATGACTAATCCATACTAATATAATAAATGTGAAAGTGTGATTGTTTGTTTGTCATTCTTTCACGTCGAAACGGCTTGGCGGAAAGGCGTGATTTATTGTGTAGAGATAGTTGGGCCGGAGAGTGACATAGGCTACTTTTTACCGCGGGAGATTTTCTCTTTCCCATGGGAAAACACGTTATAATACAATCCAAAAAACTATTTACAATCAGAATTACTTGTTACTTGGTATTAAAGCTCTTTAATACAATTAATTAAATATGTGTTTTAGCATTTTTCAAAATTCATTCCTAAGAGGGTAAAATAGTAGATGAAAGTTTGTATGAAACCTACCATTTTCGAGATTTTTTTTGCACTTTTAGCGCGAGCGAAAGCGCGGGTTCTGCTAGTAATATTATAAATTAATATTATAAATATGCTTCTCTATTTGTTACCTTTTAATGCAAAAACCGCTGAACAGATTTCGATGAAATTTGGCAAGGACATAGATTATTTCATGAGAATGGGTATAGGCTATCAATGATCCCCGCAATTCTTATAATGCGAGTGTAACCGAGTGCAAAAACTAGTAACAAATAATTCAGTTACAATGATGTCACTGTCCATTGCAAGTTCAGGTTTATACATTAGCCCGACGTCAGGACAACGGACGTATCGTAGAGGTCTCGTTTAAATATAAACTTATAAATATGATATTGTAGTAGAGAGAGAGAGATACTTGGTCATTATTTACGAATCGATAAATACTTGTGTTGTATTAATTAGTGCATTTAAACTGGTTAGGCATACGTTTGAATTAATCAGTTAGTTTAGGTAAACTGGGTTTAACGATATGCGAAATCTCTGTCAATGGAGTGGAAACAAGCGTGTTAAGATGGTGTTCCCAGTTCGATTTCGGACGCAACAATATATCTATTCAATTTTGCTTGTTGCCATGTTATTCAGTTTTCAGTTTTAAATGCGAAAGTTTGTATACTCTACTACCGTTACTCCTTCACGAAGAAACGGCTGGACGGATTAGGATGTTGACATTCTGACAGGGTCGCGGTCGAATGCGCAAATGATCCCGTGGCCCTTTCTCTTGCGATAGGGATCTTTTGTCGCGTTTCTCGCGAAAGCAGTCACACATATCCCGTGCGTCCTCCGCGCTCGGGCACCCGTAAAGTAGTTTCCCCGCGAATCAAAAAAAAGGATGCAATGCATTGATAGAATTAGACTATGACCTGGAGTAACATATAGGCTACTATTAGGTACCTAGAGGACGAGTGAAGCAAGGGTAAGCACTTATAAAACAATTTAACAATATTAGACAATAATTGAAGTGACAACGTACTACTTAAACTACTATACCTACTGTGTGTAGTTTTAGTATATGTAGTAAGTATTTTTTATATTTTTTATATAGTGTAGTATTTTTTTTCTAATAAACACATTTTTTGAGTAAAAACGATGAAAATCAAGAAAATATCATAAAATCATCAAAAACAAAAAGTAAACCTATGATCAAAGCGGTTATGATAATTATTTAGAAAACTGGCAATAAAATAAATGAAAGTTATAGACACACCCTCGTATATAAGTTTAACAAGTATTGAGTCTGGCGCAAAAAAACATTGACAAA